AGAAATGTTAATACATCTATGTTGTTACTTTGCTGTTGTTATGAGCCTTCAAGTCACTTCCTATCATGGGGTTTTCTGGGGCTGAATGTGTGTGACTTGCCCGAAGTCAGCCAGTGCATTTCCATGGCCAAGTCAGGATTCGAATCCTGGTCTCGAGAGCCGTAGCCCTTGCTTTCATACATCTATATCATGACCAAAATCTTCATGAGTCAGAACTCAGCCTGATGTCAGAAACAAGAGGCTCTTCCCTCTTGTTTAAATTTTTCAGCAAAAAAGTACCAGGAAGAGTCATCATAAAATATGGTTTCCAGTAATTTCTTTCTAGAAAAAAATCCCATGAGACGTCATCACAATATATAAAAAACATTTCACAAAGAATAAAATCGATACGACCAAGAGTTTTTCAATGTAGTATTTTTTTCAGTCACAATCTTCTCAAAAACCATCAAACCCACTACAAATACATACACAAAATCCAAATGAAATACAGCAAATAATTATAAATATCTTAAATGATTACACAGTAAAAATTACTCTCAAAATACAGTTGGTAAGGAACTACAGAAAGGGAAACAACAACACAGACACACAAAAGAAGGGGTGGGCAACCACAGCATGGCCAAGGTACAAGATTCTCCACTACTTCTATGGTACAAGACCCTCCACTACTGCCTGGATCACCAAAACAACAACAGTATGGCCGGAACCCCACTTCTGGTTCTGAAAAATTCAGTATTTTTATATATGAAACAGTACAGGGAAGCTTTCCAACATATACATCCCCAGCAATCTTTGCCTCCAGCCTTCAAAATGGGGAGCATAGGTATGTATTTCCACCTTTCTTCCCTTCCTCCAGCATGACCGGATGGAGGGAGAGGGCAGTGGGGTTCCAATCAAATGAACAAAACACTGGCAGGAATTCCTGCTGCCAAAATTCATGAGTTTCAGTATAGTGTCAAAGTTTTGTATTTGTAGGGACAGACAGAGAGGGAGGGAAGAGCCTCTTGTTTCTGACATCAGGCTGAGTTCTGGAGGGACCTGAAAGCATTTCCAAGGCCCATCATGATCTGAAGGATGACCTCCACCAAGCCACCAGTTTGGAGTCAAGGTAGAGGAGGAGCTGGGTGCCTTTTTTGCTGCCCACTTCCCACTACAGCGGTGGCTAAGAGCTGCATGGAGATCACTTCCACAACAGTCACAACAGTTTGTTGTGTCCCTTTAGGATCACTTATTTCACTCATGCATGCTTCTCCTTGGGTTTTCTTGGCAAGGCTTATTATCCAGAGGAAGTTGGCCAGCATTGCCATCCTCTTAGGTTGAGAGTGGGTGGCTTGCTCAAGGTCACCCAGTCGGTTTCCATGGCTGATGGGGCATTCATTCCCCTGTCTTCCAGTGCCCTGACCTCTCAGTACACTGTCCTTCTAGACCAGGGGTAGGCAACCTTTTTGAGCCGGGGGCCGGGTTGCTGTCCCTCAGGCAATGGGGGGGGGGCGAAGCACCAAAAAGAAAGAAAGAAAGAAAGAAAGAATGTTTTTTAAAAATTAAAAATTTAAAAAATATGCATGCACACACTCTCAGCCCGAGAAAAACCATGGCAAAACCCCTGTGGAGATTTTGCCAAGAAAACCCCAATAACAACAATAATCAATATCATCATGGCAGGCGGGGGGGCGGTGGCGGCAGCAAGACCAGCCTGGAGACGGTCCAAAGGCCTTGGGGGGCCACATCCGGCCCCCAGGCCTTAGGTTGCCTACCCCTGTTCTAGACGGGAAGACGCTGCTACCTAGGAGGATGATGGAGTCTCCTTCTCTGGAGGCTTTTAAACAGAGGCTGGATGGTCATCAATCATGGAAGAGGAGATCTCTTCCAAGTGTAAGATCCTATGTATTCCTGCATGGCAGAAGAGGGTTGGACTGGATGGCGCTTTGGGGTTTTTTCCAAGTCTAGGATCTTATGTATTCCAGCATGGTAGAAGGGGGTTGGACTGGATGGTCCCTGGATATCTCTCTTAATTCTATGTATTCCTGCAAGGCAGAAAAGGGTTTGACTGGATGGCCCCTGGGTGTACCTTCCAACTCTATGGTTCTATGATTCTGCAGTCACTACAGGGGAGAAGAGCACCCTTGTCTTCCAAATCTGCACAGCTTCTCTCTCTTTCCAGTGCACTCTGGAAAGAAGCAGAGCCAAGGGGAAAAGGGTGGGGAGATGTTCATAGAATCATAGAGTTGGAGGAGAACCCAAGGGCAATCCAGTCCAATCCTATTCTGCCATGCAGGAAGACACAATTAAAGCACCCCTGATAGATGGCCACCCAGCTTCTGTGTAAAGACCTCCAAAGAAAGAAACTCCACACTCTCCAAGTGAATATGTTCCACTGTTGAACAGCTCTTACTGTCAGGACATTCTTCCTAATATTTAGGTGGAATCTTTTTTCCTGTAGCTTGCATCCATTGTTCTGTGTCCTCGGGAGCAGCAGAAAATAAGTTTGCTCCATCTTCAATATGACATCACTTCAAATCCTTAAACAGAGTTAACATATCACCTCTTAACTGTCTCTTTTCCAGGCTAAACATACCCAGTTCACTCCTCACAGGGCATGGTTTCCAGACCTTTCACCATCTTGGTCTTCTTCTCTGGACATACTCCAGCTTGTCAATATCATTTTTGAATTGTGGTGCCCAGCACTGGACATAGTTTTCCAGGTGAGGCCTGACCAAAGCAGAATAGAGTGGCACTATTACTTCCCTTGATTTAGACACTATACTTCTATTAATGCAGCCTAGGATTGCATTGGCCTTTTTAGCTGCCACATCATACCGTTGATTCATGTTCAACTTGTGGTCTACTAGAAGAGACGCCACTGAACTGAAGGCACAGAATCCTAGAGTTGGAAGAGATCCCCAAGGTCATCAAGTCCAACCCCTGCCATACAGGAACATACAATCAAAGCACTCCTGAGAGATGGCCATCCAGCCTGTCTTTAAAAACTTCCAAAGAAGGAGATTCCACTACCCTCCAAAGCAGTATCAAGCAGTTCTTAATGTCAGGAAGGTCAGGAAAGATGTGTAAATTTGCATACAAAAATTCAAGCTCCAAGAACAGGTAATGGTAATTCCTTGCTCTAAATTGCCTTGTACACCCTCAGCTGAAGCAAAAATAGGCAGGCAATGCACAACCACCCATAGAAAGGCACATTGAGCACCAGCCTCTTTGAACCTTCTTTCACACCCAGGACTCCCAAGAGAATCTCCATCTTCTCCAACAAGCTATTACTGACGGTCACTATTGCCCATAGCAGCTTGGTGCTCGGGCCACTGAGAATCCTAGAAACAGAAATGAAACACAAAACAGAAATACACGAAACAGAAATGCTATTAAATAAATTATGGGTAAGAGCCAAACTTGCACTATGCATATGTTCAGTCCATCTGGACTGATATCCATGTAACTTCTGCTGAAATAAACCAGTTTAATCTCAACGGTGCTGCTGGATTCCTTTTATTTCCCATTTTTATATAGACAGATATTAGTTTTGATATAGATTTAATTTAATATTTAAACCACAAAAAACATTCAGAAGAAAAGAACAGAAGAAAAATAAAATAAGGTATACATACATACAAACACACTGAAACCAAACTACTAAAAGCATGCTAATGTGCTGAACTAATACAAACTAAAACAATCAACACAAACTAAAATATTAAACATTAACTACTGTAACTAAAATACAAATGGCCTCTGACCCTGCGATCCAAACTGTAATGAGAAAAAAAATCCAAAAGCAGAAACATTTATTCTAACGTTACAGAACCAACTAAATATACTAGGGTTACTAGTAACCATAATGATAGATTACTACATTGTTAGATTTGTCATTGCTCAAAAAATGGATTAATATAAACGGACTGATTCATGTTAGGAAATCCCAGACCACCCCTTTCTCTAGCATCATACATTGTTTTAAATTTTATTCTGGGTTTCCTTGCTTGCCAGATAAATCTGAGGGGAAAAATCCTTCTGCCATTTCAAAAAGGGTGTTCCAATTATTTTGATGGGGATCATTCAAAAGTAAAACAGAAATACTGGCAAAACATTTGCTTTTATTACTGAAATTCTCCCCACGCCACATTTTCTAACAGACTGATACAATTACTCTCTTTGAACACTTGGACTTTGGGATCTAACTTAGAATCCTAGAATCCTCGTATTGGAAGAGACCCAAGGGGCCATCCAGTCCAACCTCCTTCTGCCATGCAGGAAGACACAATCAAAGCACCAGACAGACAGATGGTCATCCAGTCTCTGTTTAAAAATCTTCAAAGAAGAAGAGTCAAGACTTTCTTTCCCTCCACAGTGTACCATATGTACCCTCCTTCAGTGCACCCTGAAGTCTCCTTGAGGGCAGGTGTTTACAGTGCCAAGCAGGGTTTGGGGTGCAATGTGTACCTGTGCTCCAAGTACCAACTTCCAGGCCTAGCAAAGTGTGCTGGCTATTGCTCTTCTTCCCCAAAAACAGAGAAAAGGATTTCCCTGCAGTCTTGCAAGGAAGAGCCTCCAAGGGGTATGACAGGTGCCAACCTGTTGCAGCCAAAACAACGCAAGAGCCTTTGTCTACGCAGGACCAGAGCTCAGGTGTGTTGGCACGAGGCTCCTTCTTGTTCTGACAGTAGCGGGCATTGTTTTCTGCAGGACAACCTCACCCTAAACTAAGGTAGATGGGAAAAAGGGCAGGAGGGAGGAGTGCTTGAAAGTGGCATTTTTTAATTTAATTTTGTTCTAATAACTGACCCCGTTCTATGGTTTACACAGCCCTCTCCTCTTATTTAGTACAAGTTGAGTCTCCCTTATCCGAAATACACCAAAATTGTCCACATGGATGGCTGAAGAGTGACACCTTTGATTTCTGACAGTTCAAAATTACTGAAAATATTGTGAACTGTACATGGAGGGAATGCATGTATATATATCTAATATATATATATATATGTACATTGAGAGATAGGGTGGCACAGTGGTTTGTGTACTGAACTACAACTCCGGACTCCAGGGTTCAAATTCCGACTTGGCCATGAAAATCCACTGGGTGATCTTGGGCAAGTCATACTCTCTCAGCCTCCGAGGATTGCAATGGCAATCCCCCTCTGAAGAAACTTGCCAAGAAAACCCCATAATAAGTTTGCCATAAGTTGGCAACGACCTGAAGCCACCTACCCTAGGACAGGGGTCTCCAGCAACAACAACAGCTTGGCCCATCCTGCTCTGCCTCAGAGGAGTAATATCGAGCCTCGCCATGATTACCAACAGCCTTATTAATTCTCTCACTCCCAGTGTGTATATATGTGACTTAATACCTCTGTGTTGCTCTTAGTATTATTACTACTGCTGCCAAGCACAAGATCACACATGACCCAAGAAAAGAGTGCCCACCAAAGAGCGCTGGTAGTAGTGGTTATTATCATTATTATCATGTCCCCATGCATCCAAGAAAATAGACCAATTGAAAACAGACCAAGTGAAAATAGACCAAGCACGAAAGCTTCTGCTACAACTTATTTTGCTCAATTAATCTTAACAGTGCTACAAGATCCCTTTGAACCCTGATTTTCCAGACTAACACGGCTAGATCTCTGAACCATATCATTATTAGCATTACTGTATTACTGCTTCCCTTCCTTCTATCCCCCTTCCCTCAGGAGACAGCCCCCCCCCACTCCTATTAGTATCATGCCTCCTCCTCCTTCTTTTTCTTCTTCTTCAAGAGATCTAGTAGCACCTTTGAGACCAACAGTCTTAAAAGGCATTACTAAATCTCTTTTGCATTCTAATTTTCCAGACTAACGGCTATGTCTTTGTATTATTATTTTTGTTGCTTCCCTTCCTCTTCCCACCCCTTCCTTGGCACAGCCCCCGCCACATTCCCATTAGTATCATGCCTAATTATTATCATTATTACCATTATTATTAATACTATTCCTCCTCCCATCCTTCTCTTGGAGACAGCCTCCACTCATACCTCATTCTTACTATCATTATTATTATTATTTTTGTCTCTATTCCTCCGCTCTCCCCTCCCTCAGGAGACAGCCCCTACTCCAATTAAGACCATGCCTCATTGTTGCTATTATTAACCATTATCGCTATTATTATTGCTTCCCTTCCTCTTCTCACCCTTCCCTCAGAGACAACTCCCATCCCATTTAATATGCCTTATTATTATTCTCACCATTCCCTCAGCGACAGCCCTCACTCCTATTAATATGCCTTATTATTACTATTATTATTATTATTGCTATTCCTCCTCTCACCCTTTCCCTCAGAGACAGCCCTCACTCCTATAGATATGCTTCATTATTATTATTATTATTATTATTATTATTAATGGTACTCCTTCCCTCAGAGATTGCCCCAGCGCACTATTTCTATCAGGCCTCACTACTACTACTGCTACTGCTACTACTACTACTACTACTATTCTCATCCTCATTATTACAGTACTATCCTTATGGCTTCCTTCCCTCCTACCCCCCTTCCCTCAGGAGACAGCCCTCACGCCTCTGAGTCTCATGCCTTATTATCGCCCTTATCAATTAGGCCCTTTCCTTCCTTCCTTCCTTGCTTCTCTTGGGGGCTCTCACCGTGGGGTCTGCTGGCGAGGTCGGCGTCGGCGTCGGCGTCGGCGGCGCCCATCCCGGCCGAGGCGAGCAGGGCCGCCGCCACCACCACTACCACCAGGGCCACTGCCACCGGAGAAGCCAAGGGCGGCCAGGGCCCAGGCCAGCGCCGAGACGGACCCTCCATGGCCGAGGCGTCGGCGTCGGGGGTCTCTCTGCTGCGGGGCCTCCTCCTCTTCACACCATCAGCTTTCGGCCTCGGCCTCTGGGTCTCTCTCTCTCTCTCTCTCTTTTCGTCAGGGGGCCTCCTCCTCCTCCTCCTCCTCCGCCCCCGGTAAACAAGCGCCTCCGCCGCCGCCGCCGCGGCTGCAGGAGAGAGGGGCGGGGATGCGAAGGGAGGCCCCGGCGTCCCTCCCGGCCTCCTCCTCCTCCTCCTCCTCCTCCTCCTCCTCCGGGCAGAGTCCGACTCTGAGGGGAAAAAGCGGCGCCCGGAGTCCGGACGGGACGGAAGGAGGCCCACAACCACCGCCTCACTCACTGAGGCGTCTTGTTTTTGTTTTTGTTTTTTACCTCAGGTGTACATTAATTAGCACCAGTGGAAGGAAGGAAGCTCCTAATGGCAGGGAGGCGCATTAATCAGGCTGGATAATGAGGGAGGTGGGCGGCCAACGCCGGCTTCTCCCCGCCACCTTCCCGTTACTCGTTACCAACACGTTACTGGCAGGCGTTACTTGGGAGAAACGGGGAGAGTGAGACGCCACCGTCCTTCTTTCCCCCCCCCCCCCAAGACCTGGCTGCCATACGAGGCCGCCGGCTGAATAACAACAAAACATCATCATTATCATTATTATTATTATTGGCTCAGGGAACTGACTCTTCCCTCAGGGGTCCATTAATAGTAAATAATCAGCCTATCAAGAACTCTCACGCTGACTGGATAGTTATTAATAATGGCTAATATTAGATATTATTAGATGCAGCAATCCATGGGTAGAGGCTGATAAGCAATAATAATAATAATAATAATAATAATAATAATAATAATAATGATAGTAGTAGTAGTTGAGGAAGTAGACCAATGTCTATGAAAGCTCCTGTTGCCAACTTTCTTTCAGTAAGTCTCAAAGCTCCTACAAGATCTCTCTACATATTGATTCTAGAGACTAACACGGCTATATCTTTGAACAGCAACAACAACAACAATAATGGGGGCTTCCCTCAATATAAATATTTGTGAGCCCCCTTGGATTCCTTTCCTGGAAAAAGACACCATATAGATTAAATAAATAGATAATAAAGAGGGTTAGGGGGTCAGAATACTAATTAATAGCTAATTAATAGGTCCCAGGTCTCCCACTGTGGGTGGGGGCAGAGCTAGGGCTCTTAATTAACAGACCCATTTGGCTAATTAGTATAGGCAAAGCTGTCAATGCATAACTCTCCTTAGAGCATTCCTTTTATTAATTTAGGACTATATCTATTTTTTTTTTAAAGGACCAGCATGGCATAGTGGTTTGAGTATTGGACTGTGACTCTGTGTTCAAGTCTCAGCTCTGTTACGGAAACTCACTTGGGCAAGTCATACTCTCTCAGCCTCAGAGGATGGCAATGGCAAATCCTGTCTGAAGAAACATGCCAAGAAAATCCCATGACAGGTCGGCCTTAGGGTCACCATCAGTCGAAAACAACTTGAAGGCACACAACAACAACAAATATCTATTTTTGCACACATACACTGACACACACTCCGAGTAGATCTCTTTAAATAAATGGAACTTATGTTTAACAGGTGACAAGCAAGTCCCACCATTTAGTTCACCCCATTTAGTTTAGCAGGTCTAACACTGACTGAGAGTAAAATTAAATTGAGCCCCATCAGGTGACCTTGGGCGAGCCACACTCTCTCATCCTCAGGGGAAGGCCATGGCAAACCTCCTCTGACCAAATGTTGCCAAGAAAACCCCATGATAGATTCACCATGAGTTGAAAATGGCATGCAGGCACACAACAACCACCACCACCCAAATAAAAAGATTTAAAACATTAAAAGAAAATGGCAGGAAAGGGAATGGGTTAATTAATCATTAATGGGAATAGCAAAGAGGAGGGTTGAGGACATTAATTATTGATAACAAGGGGGAAGGGGAGACAGAATTTGATTAAATTCAAATTGGTTTAAATTTTAATTAATCTTAAGAGATTTTGCCAATGGCAGTGTGGATTTCTACACACACTGAGCAACCAGCAGTTAGGGACTCAAGTTATAAAGAGCCTCTCAATAAATATATAAATATAATAACTTTCGCGTATAAATTTCACGTAACTTGAAGCAATTGTCCAGACAATACAATTTTTCTCCCTGCCATCTCCATCCAAACCTGGCAGGGGATGGTGTGAGCAGCAATTCATACCATGATAAGCCTAGTGGGTTAACTTATTTCTTAATTACAACAAATAATGGAAGCAACTTAATTGGGTATTTATGAGACCAGTGCTGTAAATCATAATTTGTCACAAGTAGTATGGGTTAATTTGTTAATTATAGAGAGCGGTAGCTCTGTGTGTTTTATGTATTATTCATACAGGAATGGGTTGATAAAAATGGATAGCGGGGGGGCGGGATTTATTTATTAAAACCAGTTTTTTTAAGTATTTCTGATAAAAAGCCCAAATGAGAGCATGAATAGCATGAAATTTAGCTATTTAGTTATTATATTTATATCATATTATATTTATATACAGTGGGGGCCCTTGTTATCCACCAGGGTTTGGTTCCAGGACCTCCCATGGATACCAAAATCCGAGGATGCTCAAGTCCTATTATATATATAATGGGGTATTATTATCATTATTTATACAGTGGCCCCTTGGTATCCACTGGGGTTTGGTTCCAGGGGCCCCTGTCAAATCCCAAAAACCATAGATGCTCAATTCCCATTAAATACAATAGCATAGCAAAAGGGTGTCCCTTATATAAAATGGCAAAATCAAGGTTTGCTTTTTATATATATTTGGTTGTTTTTAATTCACCTTGAGTCAATCTCGACCCATGGCAACATCTCCAAGACCCTCTGTCCTCCACTGCTCTGTTTAATTCTGCCACTCCTTAATCCCCGTGACCTCCTTAATAGAGTCCATCTATCTGGCACATGGCCTTCCTCTCTTCCTATTTCCCTCCACTTTTCCCACCATTATTGTCTTTTCTCTCTTTGACTCTTCTCTTCTCATGATGTGTCCAAAGTACAACGGCCTCAGTTTGGTCATCTTGGCTTCCAGAGAGTTTCTGATTTGATTGCTCTAGGACCCATTTGTTTGTCCTTTTGGCTGTCCATGGGA